GATCAAGGCATTTTATTGCTCTCAGATATTGAGTTGTCTTTGACAGGTTGGTGTGACTCGGATTGGGCAACCTGTCCTCTTATGAGGCGGTCTCTCACTGGTTGGTTTGTGTTTTTGGGGCATTCGTCAATGTCAGAAAACTAAGAAGCAACACATTGTAGCTCGTTCTTCAGCCGAGGCCGAATATCGTTCTATGGCTTCCATTACTTGTGAACTAAAATGGTTGAAGGGTCTACTTTTGAGTTTGGGAGTTCATCATCCAAAGGCGATTCCTCTTTTCTATGATAGTCAGTCTGCGTTGCATATAGCGCAAAATCCGGTATTTCATGAACGTACAAAACATATTGAAGTTGACTGTCATTTCGTGCGAGATGCAATCTAGGAAGGCCTTATTGCTCCATCCTATGTACCGATGACGATTCAATTGGCAGACATTTTTACCAAGGCTTTGGGAAAGAAGCAATTTGATTTTCTTCTTAACAAGTTGGGCATTTTAGACTTACATGCTCCAACTTGAGGGAGGGGTGTTACGATATCATTTATGATATCTTTTCATACCATCTGTGATATCTTTTCCTTGATTCTATGCTTTGTTATAGGAAACTATTTCCTAAAATATGTTGTCTATTTTCCAAACTCTTGCCGTGCTTCATGGGGCATTTTTAGGCAACTATTGTTTTTCTTCTTGTATTTATATCACGTTGAATCAATGAGAAAAGGCAACCAACCTAAATTTATCATGTTGTCCAAAACTTTATCTATATTATTCTAATAAGCCGAGAACTCTAACGCAATCGTGAAAGCCTTTCCCAGTGACGCTGCTTCAAAAATCTCAGAACTATTGAACGGATCAGCAAGAAGACTAGCCGAAACCTCACCAATGCAGGAGTTCATGCCCTTAAGATCCTACGGAATTCGCATATCAGATGCCCATGAAGTGGACTGTATTTTCAGGAATATGAGCACACGATCCTCTCAATTTCACCAATGGCCATTCTCATCCAGTAGTCCAATAATTTCATTTTTTTGCTTTCCATCCTGTGGCTCTGATATGGAAGTATCTAGTATTTCTGTCCCCAAGCCAAGTGCAAGCCAGTCAGCTCAAGCACGCTGAGCCCCATAAGCCTCCTCTTTCTCATAGAGACCTGCCAAGTGGTGTTCAAGTTGTGCAAGAGAACCTACTGTACATTTCAATGAACTCACTTATGAACCACTCGTTTTTAATTTATAAATTAAACCGTTTACAAATTATTCACAACCGGATCTTCCCTTCTAAATACTTGTTGATGTGAAAAAAGTCTTCTCAAGAAGAAGATCCGCCAATAGAGTGAGATACAAATTTCAATCCAAGATGTGATTAACGGATACATATTTTACTCTCGCACCATAAGATGTAGTTTTAGTTTTGTCCCTGGACACTGATGCTTTGTACCAGAGACTTGACTCGCTAGCAGACCTACATGGAACTAAATAATTAAAGCTTCTAAACGTTCTAAAACAATTTACTAGAAACATTCCGATTGAAGATCTGCGAATATCATGATCTTGGTTTGTTATTCCAGGTTACGAAATTTTCGGGTAAAAAATAATCCTATCAAATTAGTATATAACCCAATAAAGAAGGGGAAAATATTATGTTAATATAAATATCTATAGTTTCTTGGCCATTGAAATGATACCCTTTTGGTACATAAAATTCTGTGACATGCTAGTAAAATATATGGGAACTAAGAAAGCATGAACATAACCCAAAACGGCAAGGCAAGTGCTAAGAGAACCAAAAGATTAGGAACTATGGAATCAATTTGGAACATATATGGCTTCATCTCCTTTTTAACATTTTCTAGTTTCTCTGAGTTCTTGATGTTTGGCTTTGAAATTGTGTCAAACACCTTTTTGAGCTTCGAATGCATGCTTCTCAAATTCCACTTAAATGTTATCGAGGCTTTAATCTCAGATGCACCAACCAGCAAGGAAAAATCTTGATATGCCATAATGGATGGAATCTGTGCACTTGCAAAAGTGCTCAACGACGAAAATCTCAAAATTCTTTGGTGGGTTGTACACTGTGTAGAGCATTGTCTTGCAAGACAAAATGAATACCTTCTCGTTATATGTTACGACTTGTTTCATCCATTTTGGACAATTATAATTTTTGCCACGTTCGTAGCCAGGCTCGTTGAAATAGGGTCTGTCGTTAAGCACGAGCCCTTGAATGGATACCAAAACCTGAAGAATAGTAGAATTCTGATTCCACTTCTCCGTTTTAGCCCCATACCAAGTGTTGAGGAGGCTCAAGCAAACTGTTCCATCGGCATAAAGATTTGGATTCAAATCAAGGCCGTGTGAATGATAGTACACCTTTGGAGGTCGAAATGGATAGTCAGACGGTAGGCAAATATCAAAGAAAAAGAGACCATTGTGGTAAGGCGTTCCTTCAGCGCCAATAATCACAGCACGAAGCAGATCAATCCTTGTCTCATAAACCTGGACATAAATGGATTCGGGAAGATCTCTCTCGAGGCTTCTCCATTCCTTCATAATTTTTCGATAAGCAAAGCTGTCGACTTTAGACAAACTTTTTGACTGTTTAGACATCCTGTAGTGATGATCTGATGCCTCTGGCACAACATTAAAGTGTTTGAACTCGACATTGGTAGCTTGATTTTCTCCAGAACCTGATTAATAGAAATATTCATGTTAATGATAGAATGTGTGGAGTCTAATCATAATTACTACACGTATAAATCAGATATAGGGTCATAGTCTATAACATAGAATAATATTCTTCTTCATGGTAAAAACCTCCATGAGTGTCGCTTAATGTCTCCTGTATTAAAGATTAGAGTTTATCGTAACTGGCTAAATGCCTATGTCAACCAAATAGTTGATTTCTAATACTAGCTTCCTTTACAAAGTCGTCTCAAATGTGTCATAAAACCCAAAAACGTCAAAAGTATTTCTTCAACAATAGCAGAAATTATCCAGCGATAAATACTAACGAACCAAATATTAAAGGATCACCGGAGTTCTAGTTATTTGAATAATAGATCTACGAGTAGAGAACACAGTGTCCTAAACTTCAACAATATAATAGGTATAGATAGTAAATGATTTGTACAAATATACCCACATAATCAAGAAAAGTACCTAAAATGAAGAAAATAATATTAGCATAACAATTTGTAAACACAAACAAGACAACATGAGATGCTGTACCTGATGCCATATTTGATGATTTGCTCGATTTTTTATTTTTATTTTCTGAAACGCTATTGCTTGAGAACTAATTGTTAAATATTTGTAACTTTTAAGTTGTTTTCCAATGCTTTTATCTCTCAGAATTCTGACGTGTGAAGAACTCTACTCCAAGTGAAATTCTTTCCCACTTTTTGTTCCCTGTTTGTTCGTCCAAAAAAAAATCGTTAACATTGGAAACAAACGATTTAATTCAGTAATCAAATTTCAGATTACTCTTCTCCCTCCATAGTCAGTACTTGTTTGGGAGTGTTTAAATTAAAATATAAGTTGTGAATCCCGCAAAATGTTTGGATAAAAAATAGGTAACGAACATTGTGGAAAAAAAAGTTAATTTTACCAATTTAAATTAGTCTTGCTTATATAATAATGAAATAAGTCCTAATACAGATGCTGAGTGAAAGCTAAAATATTTATTAAAAAATCATAATGCTACTACGTAAAGCCATATTAATACTATTACAGATTGCTATAATATTTTTTGGAAATTACTATTACTGTTATTGTTGACCCATTTTTCATAACGTCAACATGAACAACAGATGTTGAGTTCACTCACGCCAACTCAAGCAAATTTCAGCGCGTTTTGACCGAAGAATCTAAAGGAGAAGGGGAGGGTGTGAATACAGGAGATACTTTACGGCATAAGACAAAAATATTCGAATACCGACGATAGTGACTAAGATGATTACACTAACAAACAATCATCAACAAAGTGTCAATAACGTAAGATCAAACTAACAAATGTAGAACAAGCAAGAGGGTATATTGAAAGTATTTTTCTTGAGTATATTTTTGTATATTAGAATCAATATTCAAAAGACCACCCTTTACAATTTACAAAGACCACCTATTAATAGAGTTCTGACTGATGTGATGATCGTTGGATCAGAACCACTTGACCTCCTCTCCTTGTATGAACCCTCACATAACTAAGTTTATCATACATTAAATACATTGACAACGGGTCAGCCGCCTTATACATTAGGTTGACACACCTAACATTATTTATTACAAACGTTACATCAATAATTCCTGAAAATTGTCTATAAATTTTGTAAGAAACAACTTTAACTTCAGGGATTTCGGATGAACTGAGGTCTTCGACCGGAGGGAGCTTAGCATTTGTGGTCTTTTGTGTGAAGAGTTTTGGCTTTTTCTGTGATTTTTTAAGTAGGACTTCAATTTTAAAATTTCAGCCATTTAGGCAGTGTTTCGACACAAGAGATTTAGCCTTTGTTTGACTTCTTTGTATTTGATCAATTGGATTTTTGTTGACTTTTCTTTCCACTTAGACTGCGACGTGACACTTTGATTGTGTTAGGTTTTAGTTGATTTTGTAATTGGCAAATTCTGTGAACAAAATGACTTAAATTGATAGAGTGCAAAAGTTCAAGGAATAATGTGCAGTTTGTTTAAAAGTTAGTTAAATAGGTCTAGAGTTTCGAGTTTGGAACAATGAGGAAAATGGCGCGGATTTTCGCTAGACTGTCTCCAAGGGTTGGATCGAGCTACAAAAATTGTATCGCTAGACTGTCGCTTCTCCTTCACTCGAGCGACAGCTTTATTCGAGAAATTTTTATTTCGCGTTTTAAAGGCTTTTTCCTTACCCATTCCTTTTTTCTAACCTACCTATAAATACTAAAACACTTCTGTACGAAAATTTGAAGGTTGAATATTGAGAGAGCTACATCTGTAAGAGATTGATTCGATTCTTCCTTCAACCTTCATCTTGTGAGTTTGTTTTGGAGAGAAAAACATCAGTTCAATAATCCAAATATCAAACTGATGTTCCTCTACATCTGATCAGAGTTCTGAAGATCGAGAAAGTTCGACCGGAGTTCCAGTCAGTAAAGAACGGGTTGTTCTTCGTGATTCACAGGAGATATGCGATTTTACCAAGCTAGAGGCTGCTGCAGGATAGTGGAGTTCCAGGAGAGTGTTGGTTATTGCAGCTGGAATTGGTGCAGAAGAGCACAAAATTCAGGAGAACTGTCAGAATTGCAGTCAGGAGATCAGATAGTTTGTGTCGTTGTCTAGTTTGGTAGACTATAAGTACAGAATCATTTATAGTGGATTGACTGGCGAAGTGCCCGGAGTTTTTCCCAGTTGGGTTTCTCCGTTATCATTCTGGTGTTGATTACTGCTTTCACTATATTGATTGATTATACAACTGCGGTATTCAAACTTGGGACTAAAGTTCGACCCTAACAATACCTAGAAAAGAAAGTGACTTGTTGTTGTTTAATTTGTAATATACTTTTAATTCTGTATAAAATACATATTCATCCCCTCTAGGTATTGTTAGGGTCGAACTTGTGTTTCTCAATTGGTATCATAGCCTTACATCGATTCCTAACCCTTATTTGTTAAGTTTAGATGAATCAGTCTTTGTTCGTGTCTTCGTTTTTCGATGGAAGCAATTATGCCTACTGAAAACTTCAAATGAGAGCGTTCCTTAAATTTTTGGATGAACGTATTTGGATTAGCGTCCAAAATGGGTGGGCTCCACCTTCAACAACCATTGCTGGTGTAGTCACACTCACTGACATATCTCTGTGAACTAAAACTAATTTTGATGAATGCAACTGGAATAGTAAAACATTACATGCTATGTTTATGGTCATATCTGTTGAAGAGTTTAAGCGAGTGTCGATGTGTGAAACTGAGTGGACTAAAACTAATCTTGATGAATGCAACTGGAACGGTAAAGCATTACATGTCTTGTTCATGGCTGTATCTGTTGAAGAGTTTAGGCGAGTGTCGATGTGTGAAACTGCTAAAGAAGTTTGGGATATTCTAGAAACCACACACGAGGGTATCAAAACCATTAAGAATTCTAAACTATAGATGTTAACCACTAAGTTTGAAGAGATTAGAATGAAGGACGATGAATCGTTCGATGAATTCTATGCAAAGCTGAATGATATAGTTAACTCTGGCTTTAACTTAGCTGAAAGGATCCCCGAGACCAAAATTGTTAGAAAAGTTCTTAGATCCCTACCTGAGAGGTTCAGACCTAAGGCGACTGCGATAGAAGAAAGTAAGGACTTAGATGCTGTTAAGATTGAAAAACTCGTAGGATCGCTTCAAACTTATGAACTCGCTGTTTCTCAACCTAAAAATGTTAAATCTATTGCCATGAACACCATTAGAAAAGAGGAGAGCGAGTCCACTGATACTGAAATCCTTAGGGATGACGAAATTGCTTATTTCGTTAAAAAATTCTAGAAGGTGATGAGAAATAGAAGAATGCACCAGGAGCGAAATAGTGAAGTCCCTAGTAAATTCTCGAGAGGTAGGCATGAGAATAACACCTCTAGGAGTCTCGTTAAGAAATCTCAATCTGTCCAATGCCATGAGTGCAAGGGGTATGGTCACATTAGGAGTGAATGTCCTAATTTAAAGAGGAGTTCGAGTATAGAACGTCGTAAGGCTTTAACTGTGACCATGAGTGATGATAAAGTTCGAGTATAGAACGTCGTTCTGGTGGTGAGGACGATAAAAAATTCATAGCTTTCACCTCGATTGCTACAATCGAATCTGACCATGAGATTGAGAAGGTTGAAAGAGAGAATGCGAGTGAACATCTGAAGAAGAGTTTGATGAAGAGACTGACATTCACGAATCTTATTGTGAATTGTTTGAGGAGAGTCTCAAAATTAAGGTCAATAAAGTCGTCTTGAAAAAGGTGAACGAGCTTGAACTTGAACGTGAAAAACTGTTAAGTGACCTTCAAGACTCGACCAGAAAATTGAGTGAGTTAAAGCTGGTTAATGAAAATTTGGAAATTAAAGTTAAATCATTAACTACTGATCTTGATAAATCTAATGCTCAACTTCAATCATTTATCAGTGGCTCGCAGAAGCTGGACAGTCTGTTTGGGATGAACAAGCCTGCGAGTGAAGGGGGTCTAGGTTATGTTCATAACCGTAATGCTACTGCAAGTACATCTAAGACCACATTGGTTCTTGCCACGAACAAAACTCATGAGATTGCTTATTCAAAACCCAAAGGTAAGCATGCCATAGGATCGAGACCTACCGCATAGCATAGGATCAATCATCCTACTCTTCGACAACCTCCACCGAGCAGGTTTGGACCACGGTTCATTCCCACTTGCCACTAATGTGGTGCATTAGGACACATCAGACCTAGGTGTCATAACCGTGCGACTAGAAGCAAGAATCTGGATTTCACCAGCAATGTTGAATTTCTTGCAATCAAGTCAGTCACTTAACTGAGATGATGACTCGGTTAACTCAATCATCTTCTGCTTCTAAGAAAGTTTGGGTCATGAGAAGCGACCTCGAAGGTTGTGAAAATGGTCGTGCTCTTAATGACAAGGGTATTCAAATTTCGCCCTGATTGTGTGTTTAGACACATGCATGTGTTGTTCATTGTGTCCATGCATGCATCCTATTTATTTTTGTGTCTTTTTTTTATTGTTTCTAGTTTTTGCATTTATTTGCTTTAAGTTTTTTTTTAAAAAAAAATTGATTGAAAAATGTGAAAAATACAAATATTTTCTGGTTGGGAAATCGACACATCATTTTGAGTTTAAATCTGTTATGTAAGACCAAGTAAGCAATTATCTGATTTATACTATGATTTTCATTGCTAGGTTCGGTTTAATGTGGAATACTGAGTATATATGTCGTCACGTAATCATTTGTACTGCACTCACTATGATTTTTTGAATGAGTCTGAACCGCATGTGTGAGATTTGGGATGACAGTCACGTGTTAGTAGGGTGACCTCAAACATGAATTGACCTACATTTAGATGACGTTAGCTCGTGATAGTCTCCCCGCACTGCTGCATTTATGATGAGAAAAATTAATAAATAAAACTATATGAGTGATTAATTGGTTCATCTTATTCTCTGTTCGAAGCCTATTTGTCTTGAGTAATTAAGACTGAAGGTTTCTCATAACTTGGTGCATATGGTAATCTGACTTGGATTAACCGGCCTATAACTCGTTACAGGGATCAATTTGGTCGCTTAATGGACATGGTTTACATATAAGATGCTATTTACGAAAAAAGTGATAAAAATAAAATATGCTAACATTCAGGGGGAGAAAAGAAAATTTATCACATATTTGAGCTCCTTTTTAGGTTCTAAAAATTATTCAGGTTTGACTTTCATCTGTAGGGATCATATTTATTTAACAAGTGATGTTTAGCATGTCCTTTCTCACAAATTTAAGGTTTGGAGTCGTTTTCACGAGAAAATAGTGGTGTATTACACACATGAGTCATTTATACACCTTACTCCATCTTGAACTTAACTGCGTATGTGGGAAAGTCTTGTTGATATTGCTTGACTTATGATTACATTTTTTATTTGAATTGTCGAAGTGTCGGAGCATGATTTGCCTTAATTTCGTTTTAATGAAAAATGCCGTTTTTCTGAATTTTTGAATTTTTAGTGCTATTCCTGACATTTGGCATGTTGCCAGCTTGTCACTCGATCGCCGCTCAAGCGACGCCCATATTTCTGAACTAAAATGCTTCATTTCAAGGGTTTTTCGCATTTTTTCCTCTCTATTTCACTTGATTTCCCTAAAATTTCCAAAACCCACTCAAAATCAGTTATTTGACCACTTCATTAACACTTTGAACCATACATTTCAGTTACTATTTCATCAAATCATTCACATTTGAAGGTAATTTTCGAAAACTTGGGTTTTTCTCTATTTTCGCAATTTAGTTGGATTTTTTTATTGATTGGTCATTCTTGCTTGGATTTTATTCTATTGTACTTCATATGGTACATATTTACATAGAATATTGTTCATTTGTGCGAGGTTTTTCCTCAAAAATCGGATTATGGACCATTTTGGCTTTCTTTGGAATTTGCTTTGAGTATTCTTTTAGTATTGAAGTTCTTTGAGTTACTTGGGTTTGATTATGCATTGAGTGTGATCGTGTTAGTTGTGGTTTAGAATGTGGTCGTTGGGTTGGGTGAGTTTGGAATGTTTTTAGGTTGGAGTGAAGTTTTGGTTTGGACTGAACTTTGTCGAGACTTGGTTGTTGGATGACTAAGGTTGGATGTTGCATGAGGTGCATTGGAGTGTCGAGGTTGATGTTTCGATAATTGCATTGGGTGTGCTTGAGTGTGGCACTGCACGGGGACGTCACGGCACGTATCATGTCTTCACGTCACCTACGTCTAAGCATCATTGCATGTCGTCATGCATTCACTATAGGGCACATTGCATGTCATTTTATTTGCCTCGTTTTGCGTGAATGCATACCATGCATTTCATGATTTAGTTTGTCATATCTCCAATTTTTCTTAATTTTGTGTTTCATTTCTTTCAGATGCCACCTAAGAGAGCACGTACTTTTGCTTTCACTCCTAGCACTTCGACTGCGTTTTGTCGAACAAGGTTCATTTCTGCTGTGGCCCAGGATGTTTTTGGGTCACAGTTCTCTCTGCGTCCCATACTTTTTGAGCGCGAGGTCATCATGTCTGACCTATGCCCTGACCTCGCCGCTATCTTCACTTCCCAGGGTTGGGAGCCACTCTTAGTTGATTTGAAACCCCCACCTAGTCTCTTAGTTCAGGAGTTTTACGCTAACATCTATGACGTTAGTGGCTCTTCTTTTAGCTTTTTTCTTCGGGGACGGGTAGTTAAGATTACTTCGGACGTCATTTCTAGCCTTATTCATATTCCGAGAGTCATCCACCCCCTCATTCTCTATTTGACTCCTGATTCTCTTCCATCAGACACTTTAGTCTGTTCCATGGTATTTAACACACCGATGGAGGGTGGTCCTGCTGCGATGAGCACTAGTTCTTTACCTACTGACCGACAGATTTTGTTGCGCATTGTGTGCACAAATCTGTGGCCAGTTTCTCACACTTCTTCCTTACCTATGGAGAAAGCTCGTTTTCTGTACGCACTGGTACACGGTGATTCCATTTATCTACCTTCTTTCATTTGTCAGCAAATTTTGCGTACGTTCCGGACCACGGGGACTCAGGTTAGGTTGTCTTATACTTGTCTCATCTATAGGTTAGTCCCTGCCCTATGAGCTAGTTTTCTCGAGGGGGTTCCGCGGCGGGTTTCTCGACCGATTGGCCATACCACTATCGCTCATAGCAGGTCACATGCCTCTTCTGAGCCCGCACAGCCTCAGGCTGATCTAACTGTGCTGGCTGATCCTATTGATGACCTGATATCTTTTGATCCTTCGGAGTTTCCCTCATTTTCAACTGCTCCTGAGTCCATCGATATTCCCTCTTCTTTTTCGACTCCTCCTTCTGCGTCAATTCCTCCTCCTCCCGAGTTTGCTCATTCTGCGTCTGCTCCCATCGACCCGTCAGTCGTTCTTTTGGGACAGACGACCGTGTTTCTCGAACAGTAAGCTCGTATGATGGCAGAGATTACACAGCTTCGTGCCACTGTTGATCGCTACACTGTCGAGTTTGCTACATTGTGAGGTGTTGTTGGCTACATTCAGCGTGGACTACGATGGATTCGTCGCCATTGGAATGATGCTTCTGAGGAGAGGACTGACTATGATGATGTCGATGCTGGTGCAGGTGCTTCATAGCAGTATGTTGATTGGGGAAGGGTAGATAGTAGTTTTTGTTCTTAGTGCTTACATGATGTATCTACTATCTGGATGTAATTCTTTTTGATATATGTAATGATTTTTTACTCAAAAGCACTTCAGTTCGCTAAATTAAGTTTTTGACGTTTTTACAGTGTCAATGTTTCGTTTTTGGTATGTTGGATCGCATTGATACTATGTCTTAGTTTAGCTTGTGATTTATAATTGAAAAGTATGGTAATTGAGTTAAATTGCTTAAATGACATCTACAAATGAACTGTTTGAACTGTGTTGATTATTGATCATGTTTATCACACATTTAACACTCGTATTTGAGTTGTCTATTTCAAGAAACAGGAATTGTAGAGTTTGTTCAAGACAGNCTTTTATTTTATTACTGTCTTAACATAGATTATTGTTTTTTCATAGAATGCCAAATGGAGAGTTTGTTAGGTTTTAGTTGATTTTGTAATTGGTAAATTCTGTTAACAAAAGGACTTAAATTGATAGAGTGCAAAAGTTCAAGGAGTAATGTGCAATTTGTTTAAAAGTTAGTTAAATAGGTCTAGGGTTTCAAGTTTGGAACATGGAAGAAAACAACACAGATTTTAGCTAGACTGTCGCCAAGGGTTAGCTCGTGCCACGAAAAAGAAACTGTATCGCTAGATTGTTGCCCCTCCTTCGCTGAGCGGCAGTCTGTCGCTCGACTGTCGCTGAGCCCTCGCTCGAGCGATAACTTTATTCGGGAAATTTTTATTTCGCGTTTTAAAGGCTTTTTCCTGGCCTATTCGTTTTTTCTAACCTAATACAAAAACACTTCTGTACCAAAATTTGAAGGTTGAACATTGAGAGAGCTACATTTGTAAGAGATTGATTCGATTCCTTCCTTCAACCTTCATCTCGTGAGTTTGTTTTAGAGAGAAAAACATTAGTTTAATATTCTAAATACCAAACTGTTGTTCCTCTACATCTTATCAGAGTTCTGAAGATCAAGGAAGTTCGACTGGAGTTCCAGTCTGTGAAGAACGGGTTGTTCTTCGTGATTCATAGGAGATAGACGATTTTACCAAGCTAAGGGCTACTGCAGGATAGCGGAGTTCCAGGAGAGCGTTGGTTATTGCAGTTGGAATTGGTGCAGGAGAGCACAGAATTCAGGAGAGTTGTCAGAATTGCAGTTAGGAGATCGGATAGTTCGTGTCGTCCTCTAGTCTGGTAGACTGTAAGTACAACATCGTTTATAGTGGATTGACTGGCAAAGTGCTCGAAGTTTTTCCCAATTGGATTTCTCCGTGATCATTCCGGTGTTGATTACTGCTTTCACTATATTGATTTATTATACAACTGCGGTATTCAAATTTAGGACTAAAGCTGACTTGCATGAATGATTATCTAAAAAAGAATTAAAAAGTGACTTCTGGTTGTTTAATTCGTAATATACTTTTAATTTCACATAAAATACATATTCATCCCCATCTAGGTATTGTTAGGGTCAAACTTGCTTTTTTCAGATTGGAGCCTCAGAAACGAGGTGTAATAGTCTCCCATCTTACATCTTAACATACTTGTCGACGTTGAAGAATTCCGAACATCGAGTCGGGGACGAAAAGATTTGCCCGTGGATTTCATACATCTTCTTCTCCCTTTAATCTCAAAACAAACGCAAATGGCCACTAGATGGGATGGTCGATTTCACTTTTTGATCAACAAAGATACAAGCATTTATTTAGCCCCCATTTTTTAAAACTCATTTTTTCTCAAACTTATTTCCAATCACACATTTCATGAAATCCACAACTTTTATTTCAACCACAAATTTCTTCAATTTTTATTAAAACCTACTAAAAATTTGATTTTAGAACCAAACAGGGCTATATCTTTCAATTTTATATTGGAGAAATGGAAAGGAACTCTGTACTGTATAATCCAACATATGAAACATGCCGTAGTCAGAGGATGCAATGTCATTACAGAATTTAAATAACCAACATCTTTATTCCCTCATTGTCACCTTAAACTGAAGCACCAAATTCATTTTACAAAACAAGAAGGAAGATTTGAGTAGATTTACAGCTTTGATGGCGGTTTCTTTGACCTCCGACCAGCTATGAATTCCTGCATTTTCTTAAACTGCACCTTCGTCATCCCATCATAGTACTCGTGAGCCCTTTCCTGAGAATTGTACAAACAGGGGAATGAATTCTGAATCTAACAACCTTTGAATACGAGAAACTAGCTAGCATTCTTAATGCTCTAAATTGATTTCGTGATTCTGTTTTCATATCAGTACGATTTTTTAACATACCCAAGTTGTCAAATCTCACAAGTCAGGGTGGAGTGAAGCAATAATGAATTTGATGCATTATGTTTTTCTAGGTATGTTTTTTCATCTATGGAAACCGAGAATATGACATTCTCAACAGATACAACCAAGAAATGGGAGCAGCGGAAGGAAACTGAAAGTATGGGGACAAAAATAATAGTAAATATGAAATTATGTTTAGTACGCAATACTGCGACAAAAATGGAGAGTATAATGAACAACATTTAAATTTTTTTTGTTTGACAATAGTGCCGAGTGCTATCTAAATTTCTAATCCTCCTTGTTAAACATGCTAAAGTTGCATGGAGCAGCTTATACTAACAGAGTAGACGAGTTAAACTTTATTTTGGTATAAGATCTTAAGATACGTACTCAATGATAAAATTCTATTGCAATGCAGAGACTAGCAAAGGAAAAACCCACAAAGAGAAACACTGCACCTTCTCAAGAGCAAGTGCATGATCCAGGTCGAGTTTAAATCCGTCGTTGATAACTGATTTATATCTCAATACCAAGTCTTGATTATTCTTAATTATGGCTTCAGCAAGTTGTCGAGCCTTCGTCAAAAGTTCACTTCCTTCAACAACGTGATTCACCAAACCCCACCTTTCGGCTTGTTCAGCAGTTACAGGCATTGCACTCAAAGACACTTCACGAGCTCTACTAGGCCCAATTATGCGTGAAAGCTTCTGAGATAAACCCCAAGAAGGAAATATCCCAAACCTGCCAGAACCAAATTCACAACAAGGCATGTTCAGAGAAAATTTGCACTGCACAATGGTCAAGTCGATTCAATCCAAAATATACTGTAAAAAATGCCATTGCAAAAAAACTCAAAAACTCCATTTCCTATACTAGAAGTTGTAACAACATTAGAGAATTCAATATCAATTCAAATGTCATGAAGAACTTATAAATTCCACCACGTATGAAACAAGACCACAAGATAGAAAAGATGCTAGATAAGACTGCAGAAGTCAATCGCATAAATGCAAATTCTTCGTCTACGTACATAAATAAGAAAATTATTAAAATGCGAGTAACAAAGCTGATGAAGTGATGATCCCCAAGCAATCACTTTTATCTTCTAATTCCCCAGTAAAATAGTTACAATAGTCGTTCATGATTGGGCTGAAAAATCAGGCTGAGCCTTGAGGTGGGTCCTAATGTAGACTTGAGCCACCTAGATAAGCTTAAAATTTGCTCAAGAGTTACAGAAATTTATTTATTTATTTTATTTTTTTTGAGAAAACCCACACTGGAGAGTGAAAATTAAAAATTGCATCCCGAAATAATTTTATCTAGAATAATCTCCTCTGGTAAATACTCTCATAGCACCATCTGCACCTGCTTCTCATCTTTCTATTCACAACCCTGCCCCGACCCTATGTCCCAGTCCCCCCTCCCCTAACCAATTGCTTCCCCCATTCCCCTTGCCCTACCCTGCTCCCACAACCCCCATGCTACTTGGTAGGCTTCCAAGTTTCCAGTAGCTACTCGTGAGACTCCCAAGAAGCAGGGGGAGGGGTCGAGACAAGAAGCCTATTGTGAGAGAGTAATGTTATCTAGCTCCAGTGGTGGTGTTAGAAAGCCAGCCAAGGTGGCAACACATGATAAGTCCAAATAAATGGGTGTTATATCCTGACGTTTAATTGAATCTATCATATAATATGTTGCCACCTAGACTTAGTTTAAACACTATGGCCTGGATAGCATTATTCATTTTGAAAAATTTCCCAAGTTAAATGACCAAGCTTAAATACATCCTCGACTCATCAATTATAGTTAATTCAACAAAGGTTCAAGAATCTAATGTTTTGCAACTAGAACACTGGCATGCATAGCAGTACTTGTTTCATAAAGTTTGAACCTTTGATTACAAACTCAGATAACTAGGATTCCATGATCAAATCTCTACATAATAAGCATACAATTCCACACATAATATAATTATAATTTCCAAAAGGAAAATAATTGGGACCTGGCATGAGTGTCCACGAATTTAGCCTCTTTTGATGCCACCAAGAAATCGCAAGCCAAGGCAATCTCAAACCCGGCAGTGACTGCGAACCCGTTTATGGCTCCGATTATCGGCTTTTTGCACCGCTCCATCTGGGCAACCGGATCAGTTTCCAAATCCTTTACATCTCCCTTAAAAACGTCCTCCGCTGCAGTCAAGTCCACGCCGGAGCAAAATGCCCGACCCGATCCGGAGAGTATTATCACTTTAACCGAATCATCGGAAGCTAGGCTCTTGATTTCCCTTGCCATACGAACCATCATGGGTCGGGTCAAGGAGTTGAGAGACTTTGGCCGGTTGATGATTATATAAGCCACGCCGTCGAGTTCCCGGTTCACCAGTATGAGATTTTCCGGCGAGGGATTTTCCATTTTTCACTTTCTGTTCTAGCAATTTTTATTTTTATTTTTTTCATTAAGATAAGTGTGATGCATTCATAGGGGCGCGTGTCAAGCTTATCGTTGACGGTGTGGACGTGATTTGGCATGTTAGGAAATACAACCGTCCCAGTTGTACGGGGGGTAGAATTTTTTTTAGGGAAATGCTACGTGTACATAATGCACTACATAATGCATTACACCCCTCTCACATCGAGGGGGGTCCACAAAGAATAAAATATTTGTGGACTCCTCTTCATGTGAGAGGGGTGTAATGCATTATGTACACCATGAGGTATACACATAGCATTTCCCTTTTTTTCTTTTACAAAAATATTACTTGTACATCACAAATTTTACATAAGGGGTTACACCCCTCTCATATGGGGTGTGGGACCCATTGCATAAATTATTTTTTAATCTAAGCGGGTCCTACTCTCGTGTGAGGGGGGTGTACACCCCGATGTACAATGTGATGTACAAGTAACAAGACCGTTTTTTTTATCATCACTATAGGGTCCATAGAGGTTGTCAACCTTTTCGGTCAACCCCTTCCTGAACAAATGAAAAAATTGTAGGAAATATTATTCGTCATTTTTTATCGAAACAGTAGCGTGAATTTTAGGGAATTTTGCAGTGGAAGTATAAAATATTTCAAAAAAGTGCAGCGATTCCCAAAACGTTCAGTTGTAGCATATACAACTCAATTTTTCAAAAGTGTGCAATAGAAGGATCTCTAAAAGGTTTCCATTCAAAAGTCTATTAATTAACTAAAAGTTAAGTATTTGACCATAATTTGATCATTTTTAAAAATGACAATATAACTATCAAATCCATTGTGGCTATTATGTATTTGGGCTGCCTCACTATTTACTTGGACTGTAGACTTGGGCGGTTGTTTAATGGTTTTCGAGTTGTGGCCCAATTACTTGTGATAACGAGTTTTGGAAGTACTCCTTATGTTGATGTTGAGATCACGCCTTATGTTGATGTTGAGATATGGCCATTACTTACATTTGGCCACCTCCCAGCAATTTTTTTTTCACCACTATAGGGTCCATAGAGGTTGTCAACCTTTTCGGTCAACCCCTTCCTATACAAATGGAAAAATTGTAGGAAATATTACTCATCATTTTTTTATCGAAACAGTAGCGTGAATTTTAGGGAATTTTACAGTGGAGGTATCAAATATTTCAAAAAAGTACAGCGATTCCCAAAACGTTCAGTTGCAGCATATACATCTCAATTTTTCAAAAGTGTGCGATATAAGGATCTCTAAAAGGTTTCCATTCAAAAGTCTATTAATTAACTAAAAGTTAAGCATTTGACCATAATTTCATCATCTTTAAAAATGACAATATAACTATCAAATCCATTGTGGCTGTTATGTATTTGGGCTGCCTCACTATTTACTTGGACTGAAGACTTGGGCGGTTGATTGATGGTTTCGAGTTGTGGCCCAATTACTCGTGATAACGTGTTTTGGAAGCACTCCTTATGTTGATGTTGAGATCACGCCTTATGTTGATGTTGAGATATGGCCATTACATTTGGCCACCTCCCAGCCGTTGATATGTAACTTTTGACTTAGGGTATATATTACCTCTTTCGTCTTCATTTGATGGGGTGAGAATGTTTGTTAGGGTTTTCGTTCTCTATCGTTTCATGTACTCTTCGTTTTTGGCGTTCAATCTCTATAATCTTTAGTGGATTATTCGGTGTTGTACTTAATGTATAAAGTGTGAGATTGAGAAGAGTTTACTGTTGTGGTTATTGTGTTGAGGCGAGATAAAACCTTTGAAGAAATCTTCTTCATACATTATGTAACGATTCTTGGTTGATTCTAATGGATCTAGAGCTATATCTACTTGTAAATGCTCAACATGGTAATTAGGCCGAAGTTTGAACATCAGGGCTCTTAGGGGTAAAAACAATTCTCTATGTTCTTGTTTCCTTTGATTTCTACGATTTGGTTTAAATTGGGGTATTACAAACGGTTTGGGACCAACAAATGGTATTAAAACTGTTTTCTTTAAAATCGAAGGTTAGGGTTTGATTTTTGAAAAACCCTAGTTTTCGAAATTGTTTATCCGTTGTAAATCTAGAAATGTTTTAAAGGTTTTTTTGTGAAAATAATTGGTTTTATAAAAAGGTATTCGTTTAATCTGCCTTCAATTCAACTTTTGATTGGATCTCTTTAAGATTTTGTATCTTCTGGGGTTAGATCTAAGAGATCTGGTTCGATACTCTATTGCTCTTGAGGTTAAATTTGTTTTTCCTCTGAAATACCTTTGACTCACCTCTGATCTTGAAAAATCTGGTATTTTTTTACCGAGTTCTAGCTATTCTGTTATTGACTCACAACTGAGTTGTGGTAGTACTTGTAACTCGTACTGAGTTCTGATGAGTTGAAATGACTTACTTCGATTATTACTAATTTCTTGACTCATTGTTGGGTTTTGTTGAGTCAATGTAACTTATTAGATTCATTTCAATAATTGGAATTCTAGGTTCAAATCTGGTACTCTAACATTGCTCCCGTTATTCTGAAATATTGATATTTCAGACTCTAGTATATTCTTCCCTCTTTTAAATTTTTTTGACTATTATTAAATTGTTTTTTGTTAATATTTGATTTGATTATTAAAGTTAGTAATCTACCATTACTTTCCTTTGTCCAAGATCTCTTGTGAGAGTAGTGGACCAAAGGATTATCACTCCTTAAACCTATCAAATTGACAAACATATTTGATAACTACCCAATTGATTTGATCATCTATGTGCTATAAAATTCTGTACATTGCATACTTGAATTATATAATATGTCTTACAGTCTTGTGTAAATTGCATGATAAGTAGGCAAGATCCTATTCTCTTACTTTATTCTGAAATTCACATATCCTGTAACCTTATCACATTGCTTGAATCGAATATACTATGTGTTGTATAATTGTTTTATTGTAATCCTATCTATTAATATGTCCATTACACACAAATTTGAAGTTCAAATTTGGAATGGTACCAGAGACTTTAGTCTCTGGCCCTAAAAAATGAGAGCCCTGTTGCTGCAACAAAGACGTGTTGCTGCCCTTGATGGGACTTGGGCTACTAAGATTAGTGCTTATAAGAGACAAGAGTTAGACGAGATTGCTAGGAATTCTATTTTCTTATACCTATCCGATAGTATGATAAGAAAAGTTGGAAAAACCACCACAGCTGAAACTCTTTGGGCTAAGTTAGGAACATTTTACCTAACTAAGATTATGCCTAATAAATGCTACCTCTTGAGACAATTCTATAACTTTAGGTTTGATTTTTCCTTTTCCCTAAAAGATAACATCGATAGATTCACAAAACTGATTCAAGATTTAGCTAACTGTGATGGGAAACTATCTGATAGTCAACAAAGTGTCTCCCTGTTGAATTCCTTCAGTGATAAATACATGGAACATAGAATACTTTGGTATATGGGAGACGAGAACTTACTGTTGATGTTATTCTCTCAACCTTGAGGAATAGAGAACTTGAACTAAAATTTGAATTCAAAGATTCTAAAATTGGTGAAGGGATACATATTAAAGAAAAGTTGAACCAAAATAAGATAAATAATTTGTATAATTATAACTCTTATAAGAAAAGCAATCCCCAAAATCTTAGATTCAAAGACAAGAACAAGACTCAAATGAAATCTAAGAATCAAGTCACGAAATGCTATTATTGTGGAAAAACTGGTCATTTCATAAAAGATTGTTTCAAAAAAGTATATGATATGAAAGATAAAAATAATTCTGATGGTTCTGTAGCTATTGTCTGCAAAAATGAACTTGATATTCAGCACAACCAAAAGAAATCCAAAGGAACGAGTTCTTGATTCTGGTTGCACTTTCCACATGTTCCCTATAAAAGAATGGTTTATTGAATTTGTTGATCTCAATGGGGGAGAAGTTCGGGCAACGACATAAGTTGTCAAATAAAAATAATTGGAAAACTAAATCTTTTGCTGAGAAACAATCATATTCTTGAACTAAATGAGACCATATATGTGCCTTACTTGAAAAGAAATCTAATTTCCTTAGGTGAATTAGACGATGAATATGATATAAAGATTCAAAGAGGTTTTACAAAATTGAATCTTGATGGCAAAGAAATTATCTCCTCCCAAGATGAATGGAATATACACCTTGCAGGCTGAACTTTTAGTTGGGAACATTTTTCCATTTGTAAATTCCTATCCTGATAGTCTAGCATAAAAGATTTGGTCACATTGGTGAAAAGGGACTAATTATGGATATTTTGGAAATGATAATAGTGAGAAGTTAAATTTTTGTGAAGAACAAGTCATTGGAAAACAAAACAGATTATCTTTTAAATATGGAATTCATAAATCCACCTCTATTCTTGAGTATCTACATGCTGACCTATGGAGTCAGCATTTGTAAATACCTTAAGTGGATTAGATTCTATCTACTTTTAGTGGATGATTTTTCAAGATAAATATGGACTTTTCTTTTAAAACAAAAATTTGATACTTTTCAAAATCTTAGACAATGAAAACTGATGATTGAAAATTAAACTAACGAGAGAGTCAAAGCACTTATGACAGGTAATGACCTTGAATTTGATTCATTTTGCAAAGAACATGAAATTCTACAGCATAGAACTGTAACATATATCCCTCAGCAAAATGCTGTTGCTCAGAGGATGAATAGGACTCTATTAGAAAAAGTCCAAGTGTACGTTACTCAGTTATGATTTTCCCAAGTACTTTTGGGGTGAAGCCTTAAAAGCTATCACTTATCTTATAGATAGAAGTCCATCAAGTGCTATTGATTTTCAAGTCCATAAAAAATTATGGTTTGCTAAGTTTCCAAATTACACTAGACTTAAGATATTTGGTTGTACTGCCTATTTGCATCAGTGTGAAGGAAAACTTGAACCAAAAGCCACAAAATGTGTTTTTCTGGGTTATGGAGAGAAAACCAAAGGTTATGGAC